TAGCTCATCGGATTCTTCCAGTATCAATAAATATTCTGATTCTGAGATACTGGTCCCCCCAGGATAAGAATGAGCGATTTCCCTCACTGACACGGGTCCACCGATGGATGATCGCTACAAAGTATGTATGACCTGTGTTTTGATTTAGTGTGCTGATCTTAAAGGTGCATTGAAAAATTATAATACTCCGATTGATGCTCCTGCTGTTGTGGAGTGACTCATGCAGCCAGCTATGGCTGCAGGGTTTTGGTAGTACATGTTGTTTATGCCATTGTGAAAATTCCGTCACAGTTCCTATGATTGCTTTTTCATTGCTTTCATGGCTTTATTTTTGTGATTTAGAAAAGTGTATTGGTTTAGCCATGTTTGTTTTTTGTAGTACAGAGTTAGACTGATGGCCTTAATCTAAGTTGTCTTGTGGTTGATGTTGTTGTTTGACTTGCATCCCACTGGGATTTTTGCACACAGCGTTGGTGTACGGTGTTTTTTTCTGCAATATTTTGCTGTCTTTTCTGTTTGCACTTAGTCACATATTCACTTTAAGATGTTTTTTGTTCATGTTTTTTTTGTTTGTTGCGGTTGCACCCGATTCAAGAGCCGAATGGCTCACAGGGCTATACCTAATAAATGAACTTGAACTTGAACCCAATAGGTGTTTGAAAATAACAAAAAACATTCCTGCCCTTCGATGCATCCAGAAAAGCCTGGCAGAGGCTGAAGACTCTTTCTGAGGAGGGTCCTGCATTGGGGTATTTGGTCCAGTTTCACAAGCGAGTGCTTGGCCATGTGCAAGGAAACCACAGCACCGGACGAAAGTCCGCACAGAGTTTATGGAAATAATGCTTACATTTCTGTTCACCGTGCAAGCCTATAGCACCTGCCATTCCCAGGTAGTCTCCCATTTAAGTGATAATCATGGTCAATATTACACGTAGGCTTTCACGGCCAACATTACAATTGATAATTCGTTTATTTGACGTCGAATCGCGTGGGTATTAAAGCTCAGTGAGAACCGAGCTTGCGCTAACAGCTGATGATGCTGGATGCGATCTCCTGTGATAAGATTGTCAACGTTCCTCCACTTTGATGAAAAACCAAATCAATTGGCACATTTGCCCATGACGTGATAAATTGAGTTGATTGGCTTTGACGGGTGATGGAGGGTTATCATTAAAACATATATTTATACTGACGCAATCGAACCTAAACTAAACTAGTTATGAATCAATCATGGTCAACCATGCTTAAAGCCTGAGGTATGACGAGATCGGATGCACTCAGAAAGATTTGGTCTCAGGCAGACTGTACAGCGATGCAGCCGAATGAATCGTATGAACACCCCGCGCCACGAACGTGAGATGTTAACTACCTCGCTTGGTATACAGAAGGTTGTGGGTTCGATCCCAACCCTGACACCTGTATATTTGGAGTTTGCATGTTCTCCCTGTGGTCACGTGTATTTTTTCTTCCACATTTAGTCAAATGTGTTTAGAGTATTTTACTACTCTAAATGTCCCCGTGATCAGCCACTTAATTGAGCTATCATTTGTGGCCAGGTAGCTTTCTGAAAAACAGCTGTGTAGCTCAGTGGGCTTTACCTGGTAAAAATTAAAACAGTTTTAGTTCTATACTCTTTGGTTCTTTTAGTAAAGTCACGTAGGTAGAAAAAATAATCAATCACGACGTTTCGATCGCAACACAAGCAACTGTCATCAGATGTTAAACAAGGGACACGGTGCCCGTGATGGCACCGTGTCCCCTAGATGCCCCATGCGTCAGGATTAACCCCAGTTCAATGGAAATTCTATTTCAATCCACATCCCGATCGTGAATACGCCGTCCTTCTGTTCCCAAGGCTTTAAGTTTCGAGCCACAAAGTGGCTCTCCATGTTCCTGCGGCTCAGAGCGTCACGAGACGTCCCAGTGAACTCGCCGGTAAACAATGGCTCGGGTGACACCGACGATACGGGCTCTCGCGTGACGTGACGGTGCGTTTTCCCCCGTTTGCAACTAAAACATCAGAATCTTTATTATTTAGACTGCAGGAGAAGGAATCTGATGAGTTATGAAGCTTTTTTTACTCACATTTGTCCAGTATGCGGTGGGTGAGAAAGTTACAATAACAAAATAAAAACCAATAATGCAAAGTATAGGAACGGTTAGAAAGTCACGAAAAATAAATAAATTAAAATAACTGAAGCATCGAAGTTCGAATTGCAAAAGTATATCAACTCCTGTCGATTATTTTACAATAGATGCAAGCTTGGGCAAGGCAGCAAAACAACAACAGTCCCAGACTACAGAAAGACAACACACAGTCCCTAAATAATGTTCGCCACGGTGTCGAGATGTTAACTTCCTCGCCTGGTATACAGGACGTCGTGGGTTTGATCACGACCATGATTGCCTGTGTATTTGGAGTTTGCATGTCTCTCTCTCCCTGTGGCCTGGTGAATTTTTCTCCGGGTCCTCCGGTTTTTCCCACCACATTTAGAAACATGCATTTAGAGTATTTGGCTGCTATAAATTTCCATGCAATAAGCCACTTCATTGAGCTATCATTCGTGACCCAGTCGCTTCTGCTCAGTGGGCTTTACGAGCCCGGGCGAAGGCTTCCTGTCACGCCGCTACACATCTGTAATTGCCCAATGACTTTCAAATTTGTTTTCCAGAGTCGCGTACATTATTCCCCGCAGCTTCTGCGTAACACTCGAAAAGGTTTACTGTGTTACACGTCATGACCCCTGTGCATCGACAGCCACACCCAACGGGTAAACACGTTGGTACAAAATACCAATTTCACGTTTCAGTCCTCCACTCCAAAGATCGCAAACATCACGCAGAGAAATCCTAGCCTTGGTTTGCCTTTAGTCACACTGCCAGATTTAGGCGATCAAGTGATCCTGCAAGTCATGCGATGATACATTTATTTATAAAATGAAATGTCTTCATTTCCATTAATATATTAAAGTTAACACATTCACTTTTGGAACACGTGGCAGTTACATCATCTTGCAATGCACACTCATGAATTAACTTATGGGGAAGGGAAAAAAAACCTCGTAATGTTAATGACAGTGAAAACCAATCCTCCACAATTACACGTGTAGAGGAGTGAAATACGCAGTGCGTACAGTTAACCGAGGGCAACTGAGGGCAAACAGGTGCGCGTGTGAGCGGGTCTGAGGGAGCGTAGGGCTGTGGAGATGTAGAGTTGCTGTGTGCGGAGACGCTGTGTGCGAAGACGCTGTGTGCGGAGACGCTGTGTGTGGAGTCGCTGTGTGCGGAGACGCTGTGTGCGGAGACGCTGTGTGCGAAGACGCTGTGTGCGAGGATGCTGTGTGCGGAGACGCTGTGTGCGGAGACGCTGTGTGCGGAGACGCTGTGTGCGGAGACGCTGTGTGCGGAGACGCTGTGTGCAGAGACGCTGTGTGCGAAGACGCTGTGTGAGGATGCTGTGTGCGAAGACGTTGTGTGCGGAGACGCTGTGTGCGGAGACGCTGTGTGCGGAGACGCTGTGTGAGGATGCTGTGTGCGAAGACGCTGTGTGCGAGGACGCTGTGTGCGAGAACGCTGTGTGCGGAGACGCTGTGTGCGGAGTCGCTGTGTGCAGAGTCGCTGTGTGCGAAGACGCTGTGTGCGAAGACGCTGTGTGTGAGACGCTGTGTGCGGAGACGCTGTGTGTGAGGATGCTGTGTGTGAGGATGCTGTGTGCGAAGACGCTGTGTGCGGAGGCGCTGTGTGCGGAGACGCTGTATGCGGAGTCGCTGAGAGCAGAGCTGCTGAGTGCAGGATAAGTGAGGTGAAAGGTAGATAAGAGAGGGAAGAAGATAAACATAAGTGACCATATAGATAGTTATAGGAGTGCTACAACTAGTGCAAAAATAGGTGAATGAAGTGTAAGCAGGTGACTTGTTACGACGTGTCCGTGTGAGTAATTTTTTAAGACACAACACACATGACCACATGGGGTTGTGGATAAGAGAATTCGCAGATAATAATGAGTAACCCTTAGAAATCCAGGTAAGTGGACTTCTAATATATACAGGTGTGAAGCAAATACCAACGCTACAATAAATCAACTGCTAATGGCACTGCACATGACCAATAACTGAACCTGGAACAATGGGATAATGGTGTGGGTTGTAAAACTACATTTTTGGCTTCCAACCACCTACTGTGGCATTTGTAATCTGAATCTGTCCCCAGACTCCCCCCCTAGATTGGCTCAGCTTGAACGTCGCACCTGGTGTGGTGCGTCAACTGTAGAACTGGCTGTCCTTGGCACTGGGTCTCACCATCGTGTCTCAAATGCTGTCAGAGCATTAATAGGTCCTCCTTAACAGAAATTACCCCCCAACCCCTCCTCCTGTCTACAAGGCTGAAGGGGGGATCACTCCCCAAATTAAAAACACACAGACACTCAAACTCGGACAGACATAAAAACCCCCCAATTAGCTGTACACACCGCATTGCCTCGCTATTCGCAAGATGATACACGTTCGGGTGATGCTCGTGAACAGCAAATTTTTATATTGTTAGGGGAAGTGATGTTAGCGAGCACCGATTAAGGACGGCACAGCAGACTGAGGGGATGTTCACACACCGTGCCTGATGCTCGTGCCGCGTGGGGTCGACTTGGGAAGTTTTGTATGGTCAGGAAACAAACCCAGGTCGTGGTGATTGTAATGCAGCACAATAAGCATAATGCGACTACTCACTCCGACTACCAATACTGCACGAAGATCACCCATGTAGCCTTTAACAGACTGTGAGCACCTACGAAAGCCGGCATGGCACACGAGGGGATGGGTGGTCAAACCACACCGGATAACCTAGGGGAGGTCCAAAACCGGTTCAATTTTATGCCACAGGTCATTGGTCGTGAGCGGGAAATCGAACTCGGGTCTCCGGGTTAATAGCACAGTGCGATGACCATTACACGACCGCTCCCCTACTACGGCACACGGGAAGACACGTGCGCAAAAACACACACGTACCAGAAATGCTCCCAAGTTTTGTTGGTCACCAGATTGCCAGTCCAGCTGTGAGAGATCTCATGGGCAACCACCTGACCAAAACAAACAAAGACAAAGATCACCCATATAGCCTTGACAGACTGTTCAGGCAAGTGCTGTTAGCAAGCATCTTTTTTTTTTTACCAGGTAAGGCCCACTGAGCTAAATAGAGCAGCTCTTTTTCAGAAGTGACATGGCCACAATTGATAACACAATGAAGTGGTTTATCATGTGGAAATGTATAGCAACCAAATACTCTTATAACGCATGTTTCTAAATGTGGAGGGAAAAACCGGAGGACGCGGAGAAAAATACATTCGACTACATCGAGAGAGAACATGCAATCTCCAAATATATAGGCGTCAGGGTCGGGATCGAACCGACGACCTCCTGTACACCAGGTGAGGTAGTTAGCAGCTCGCCATCGTGGCTGTGAAGGTCGGCACGGCACATGAGGGGGTGCCCAAGTCCTGATACGCTGTATAGGGCCACTACTACAAACAAGGGCCCTTTCATTATGATTGCGAATAGACAAGGAACAAGTGTATGTAAGATGCAGCATGTTGTCATAAAGGAGTGACTGAACGAGGTAGGGACTTACTCCAGCCAACGACTTATCTCCAGCCTAAAAGAAATAACGAAAAAAACACAATATTTATTGGAAGCGTTAATTTGAAACAAATGTGAATTATCGGCTGATAATGACATATGGAATAATGTCACTAAGAACACATCATCACTTCTTATCTTACGAAATATTGCATCGTTATATGCACAGTGCAGAAGCTATTTAAAATTAGATATATGAAACATTAGCCTCACATGTATTAATCAGCATCATTATCGTCATCAATCCTCAGCACCATCGTAATAACAAGAAATGTATGCATGTATGTTGAACGTCTTTCGCACCGTATATAGCCAACCGTGCTAATTGGAGGCCCGGGGGAAGGACAACAAACTAAATACAAAAATCAGTTCTAAAATAAATTAGTTTTAAATCTAGACTCATGATGTCACGTGTTCCGCCAGCGACACTCGTTTTAGTATGGTGGCCACCCGTGGATCACACTTAAAAGTCCCGGTATAATGATTGTGTTTGATTTATTAAATTACATTTTGTTCCTTTATTCTCGTTCGTAAAAGAAGATCGAGTAATACCCCAGTTTTCGTCTCCCCCTTAATGTCGTTTCGCAAAAACATTGTTAATTTATTAACACCGATTTGTGTCGCCTCAGCCCACGCTTACGTCGCTGACAGCATCGTCCGTCCTTTCTCGTTATCCATCGCTTCTCAGCCTTCGCCTCCACATACCTTGTACACAAACTATTTTATGCCTCCTGTAAAGAAATGTACTGTAGAGTACAAAACAGGATTTACGTACGGTGTTTTTGTGATCGCTTTGATTTACGTCGTTTCGATATTCGTCGTGGCACCTTTCAGGAAAGCATCCCCGACGTAAACCGGGCTATTACCGTAGTCCTGTTAATGTTTTTTTAGTTTCCAACTGGTAGCATGTGCAACACATACTGATACCTACTGTTGTCATCACGACCTATGTAACCACGCTTGTAACGAAGATCTGTGCTTATAACATCTGTACACCTGCTGTTAGTGTTTAGTTTGTTGTCCTTGCTCCACCCCTACCATGAGCCAAGTTGACTACGTACGGTATGAAAGAAGTTCAACGTACGAACATACAGACCGTCGCAGGACGCCCAGCCGAACAGTTCATTGGGCCCTTTCTGCTGAAATCAGTAAAATCTACTCTAAATGTACAAATGAAATGAGAAAAGCAGTAAGAGCTTGGGAAATGTTGACCCAGTGCGACTTTGGAATTCCCTCCCAACAGCAGGCGAGGGTAAGGCAAGGTCAGTGACACGCAGGGCGATGACCTGGCTCATGGGTAGCATTCCCACTGCTCATTGCAGACGTTCACAGCTTGAACCCCGGCAGGCCACCCTGGTCGTTGCTGCAGATGCGTAAAATCCACCGTGGACGTTCAAAAATGATTCCGTGACGTCTTTGGAAGAGAGTAGGCCATCGTGTGCCGGGCGTTACGGTCTGAATTTTTTGCAAATTTGGAAAAAATTCCACCGCAAACTGGGATCGCGCAGAGCAACGCTGCCTGCGACTGCAAATCTACCCCAGACTGTGCACGTCAAACACAGCGCCTTCCCTCGTGATGATATCCTTGCCGCAATACGAATGACACCAATACCAAATGTACTCTCTTGCTATTATTATTCCTACGATCGTGAGCGCGCAAGCCGCGTGCTCCGGGGGCTCACCAGCACGGTGGGCGTGACGAAGGTGAGGCACGGGTTCTCCATGCCGCCGTACGGGAAGGAGGGCGGCAGCACGAGCAGGTCGTAGCGGCCCCACACGTACGGCCCCACCAGCTCCTCCGCCGTCGTCAGCATCGTCTCCGTCTGACGGCGCAGACGGGGGCGGCCCTCCGTGAGAACAGGCGGTGGCCCGTCACCAGCGGGCCGTCGGCCGCACGTGCGGCCCCGTGGCAGCGGTCGTCACATTTTTTGCCGAGGCTCGCGTTTGCGGGACGGCGCGGCGTGTATCCGACTCGCAGGGTTTAGCCAGAGGCGTTTAGCGGATATACGCGAGCGACACACTTCTGCTCGTGAAACGCGCTGCCGCACGCACAGCGTTCACTCGCCGACTCGCTTCTCGCCGGAGGGGGAATGATGCTGAGGTGCGACGAGGAGCCACGGACAAGCGGGAAGGCAGCAGCAGCAGCAGCTGGTGATCCGGCACTAATAACTGCCCGAGCTCTGTGGCCCTCTTTGTGTTAAGGTGTTAACGGCCGACTAATGAGTGATTCAATGCGGGAGGAAACCGAAACTGCCATTGAAAACCGACGAATGTGAGGGAGAAACACTCCATCTAATAACGAGGTGAGTTTCTTGACAAGGCAGGGGAGGGGGTCTGGCTGCTCAGCGCCCACGGGAAGTGACTTTCATGACATCTGTGTGTGGTCCACCAACCCTCGCCTCCACAGCGCTGGATTGCAGGCGAGCGCCACCACCGCCCGGCTAAAGGTCGGATATGCGAACTGCTTTGAACATGAGACGATGCGCGACTGTGCTTTAGAAAAAAGACAAGCGATTGTACGTTACAACAAGAACATGTTACCGCGTGTGTGATAAGGTCGCATTTGTGGACAGGCACAAATACTACGCTTGGTGTAGGCAGTTCATTGGTCAGGCCCGGATAAGTGACGGTTAAAACATGCGACAATGTACTCTGCTTCGATGAGCCCTGTATCAACGTCTTGCCAAGTGACATCGCACTGTGGAAGTCAGAGGAGGTTCATCACTGCCGATGTAGCGAAAACGTCACGAGAGCAAGGAGGCACACTGACATGACTTTGGCGTTAAATTGTGGGACCATATACGTTTTCATTTTCTGCAACTAGTAATCTACATTTTATATGCAGGCTCTCGCGACCAATATCATCATTCATAATTAGTTTATTTTGTGTTGCATCGCGTATATATGATGTCATTTATTTTTTAATCTGTAAAGCTCCACTACCCGACAGAGACAATTAAATCAAGTTGTCACGTGATGGGCAAATGTGGCAATTGATTATTTTTTTTCAGAAAATCAGAGGAATGTTGAAAACTTTGACAATTGTATCCAATGTTTGGTTGGGAGATTTCATCCAGCATCATCACGCGTGAAATGCAGCTCAGTAGATCTCATCGCGTCAACAGCTTCCTGACCCAGGTTCTTCAGTAGGTGCCGTGACGTCATCAGCAGAATCATGCACGTGATTCAGTTTAATAACTCGAGTTGATTGGTTGTGATTGGCAGGTAAGATAAGTGTAATTAGGTGAATCTCTTTAGTGGTTCGTGAAAATGGGCTTTCCTTAATTCCATTAAGGAATTACACTCAGGAAATACCATTGAGGAAAGCCCAGGATTACAGTAAATATAAAAAATTACACCCAAAACAATCTAATTATAAATACGTGCAATCGACAGCTACTTTGAAATCAAAAAGTAAAAAACCAGCAATGTCACTGAAACTACCCCAGCTCAGTATCGCTTCCTTCCTGCTGCTAGATCTCACAGCTCGTGTGGCGTACACAAGACCTCAAGATCTGCTTCATACAAGCGTCCCGCCATCTTCCCCTGGGTCACAAACTCTTGGCTGCCACTCCGACGAGGGTCAGGGTGACCTGCCCTGCTCCACACTGCTCTCGCATCCACACATGATCCATTTACACCCTCCTCTCCAAAATTATATTTCGGCATTTGTAAGTTGCCTCGAAGAAATCGAGATGAACCATCAAGCATCCTCGACATTTAATCGGATTAAAAAGTTGAGAAGATTATTGCGAGATTTAAAAAAAGTATAACTCTGACCGATAGAGGAATGCACACACCATCTATGCTTCTAGAATCCACGTCTTTTTTTTACTCACGGTGACTTAACTATTCCTTCAACGTAGTTTCTACAATCTATTAAAGAACGTGCCTGGTAACAGAGTCAGATACCTTCATTCTCACAATCACTTCCGAAATGCACACAGCTACCTACTACCTCCCTATATCCATTTAATATTTCTGTTATTTAATTTATATTTGTACTACGAACTATCCGAGGCTGACTTGCGTGACAGGAAATTTGTTATTTAACATTGATGTCTGTTTGTGTAATGTATTTTCCACTTGTCATGTGACCAAATGCTTTGTCCCTGTTTCTTTTTCGCTTCATTGCTGTGCTTTTTGTTAGCTCATCATGTCGGTGACCCAGGTCACCCTTGCAAGCGAGACTCTACCCCTGATCTCTCGGGGGCTCGCCTGGTTCAACAAAGCAACTCTAAACTCTTTAATTTCCTATCAACAGTTGCGATTAGATTGCATGAATGCTATCAACAGTTGCAGACACTGAGGTGCACGGCACGTCGCCTATGGTTAAGGTTTTGCTCAGAGACGTGGCACTGTGAGCATTGGTGACCGGGGGCCAATGCTGATGAAATGGCACGTACCTCAGAAAATTCCGAAGCAGCCTGCTCCACAAACTCCTTCTCAGACCACACCTTGCTCCTTGGGCCTATTTCCCTGTGAACACAAAAAGACAAAGATCCCCCGTCAGGCCTTAACAGACTGTAGGGGCAAGTGCTGTGAGCGAACACCTATGAAGGCTGGCACTGTACACAAAGGGGGTGGGTGGCCAGCACCACACTCAACCACCTTTGTCTCCCCAGTGGCGATATTTTGAGGCATCGAACCAGGTACTCATTTGAGGCTGAGTCGACCTCGGGGAGGCCCAGGACCGGTTCAGATAATTTAATAACACTTAATACCCAGGAACAAAAAAAAGAACAAAAAATTGTTACACAGTGTAATCGTCACTGGTGTTGGCCGTGAGCAGGAATCGAACTCTGGTCGCCAGGCTCGTAGCGCAGCGCGCTAACTGCTACACTATCTCTCCCCACACAAACAAAGCAAAACAACCACTATTTTACATCCACTATAGGACGTAGGCCTGAGTGGTGTAGAGAGCCCACGAAGGGTGGCAGGTAGTTACGTATGCTTACACACTGCACCAGCTACTCCATTGAGGCCGAGTCGATCCAGAATAGGTTTCTGATACCATCCCACTGATGTTGTTGTGTGCATGACCAAGAATTTCACCCAGGGAATCGCCATTAGTAATCTATTTGGCCCCGGTGGACATTGCACACTCTCGGTGGCCGGAACGAGCCTTCACATTGGACAACCACTGGTGTGACTTGATGGCTGATCTTTCCAAACGCCCACGGGTTGCCGACGACGATTAGCGTCCCCATACCTCTGATAACCGCGGTTGACTATGTACGGTCCCGAAAGAAGTTCGACTGGGATTTTAATTCAAGTCACATAACTGGGAGGCCCCTCCGTTCTGCTGACCTACATCCCAGCGCATTGGGTCTATGAGGGTTAAAAACGTCCCGAGGTTAAGCACAGTATAGGTTTTTACCCTTTCAACTGGTACAACTGGTACAAAACTGACACCTTTATACAAGGCATCATGTTTGCAAAAACCACAACACAAGCAGTCAAAATGCAAACAGAAAGAAACAACTCTGATAATGATATGCACTGTCCTTGAAGTTGATTGGTCCACACCCGAGACAGCTTTTCTTAGAGCCTAGTCTCCATTGGTGTTGGACCAGATGACCCTTGTGTTGTGGTTATTGCAAACATGATGCCTTGTATAAAGGTGTCAGTTTTGTACCAGTGGAAAGGGTAAAAACCTATTACTATATTTTGCCACTGGTAAAGGAGATGTCTCATAGTGTTAAGCACAGTGCCTGCTATAAAACGCGGGAATGTTTGGACGGCAACATCGATAACAAAACCAAATGCTAGCTATGGGGACCTCATTTGCCAGTAAAAATATGATAATTGGTTCTTTACCCTTATATCTGGCAACAAAACTGACACCTTTTTACAAGGAGTCATGTTTGCATAGACCGCAATACCTGCAGTCATAAATACAAACAAAAGACATAACTCTGATAATGTGCACTGTCCTTGAAGTTGATTGGTCCACACCCGAGACAGCTTTCCTTAGAGCCTAGTCTCACATGGGTTGGACCAGAAGACGCCAAAAGGCGCACAACTCAAAGACGTGTTTGCACGAGGGAAAAAATGCCTGGAGAAAACCTGAGGCGTTGCAGGGGGATACGCATCCAGGCATTTGAAAACACGTAAAATAATACTTGGATTGTAAAAATAGCTGGAATAATATTGTCGTACGCAGTTAGGCCTTGGGGACTGTCCTCCGCAACTGTCAATTATTTTCATAAAACTCTTAACTGGCTTGACTGAACCCCGCCACTTAATACCAGTGCTGTACAAGTTGCCATTGCTGTACAAGTTGCCAGAGCTGCTCATCGGGAAGGTGTTGCCTGTGCCAATTTCCAGCGCTCATTGCCCTCCATGTGCGTAGGTATTTAATGGCCTTCGCGTTTGATCGGCTAAATTAACCGTCACCAAGATTTCAACTTAAAATCTTGCCCTGCTGCTGCTCCGTCACCCAAAACACCTCCATTATCTCTCTAGATAAAAGTAAAACGTTCCATTTTCAGCGGAAAGATCTTTTTTTATTTAATCCAGGTGAGCAGCCACGCGAACGACTCGCAGTGCAGTGCAGGCCATAGATCAAAACAACAGTTTTTTTCACAAGGGTGCTGATCTTTGCCAAATTCCTTGATGCTTGTGTAAAGAGTCAAATGACCACATCAACATCACGTGGCAATGCCTACGAAACATCACCTTGGCAATTTGCCCCAGTGCTGTTGATGGAGACTTTGTAATGTTTTCGACAATAATGGGATCAACGGGGCATATGTCACATGTGAATCAGGCCCAATGGTATACAATTATAATAATCATCGTCATCATCATTTCACAATGACTTCTACTTGGAATGCACCACACAGCATGTTCTCGTTCTTCATGAAAGAGAATGACTCAGAGCCAGAAGCGCGAGGAACTGCTGACGAATGTGAAGGCAGCAGCCAGCTGGTGATGCGCAGCCAAAATCTCCCCCCCCCCCCCCACCAAGCTCTGCAGTCCTCTATATATTAAGGTGTTAATCGAACAAAGAGTGTTTACATGTGTGAGGAAACGGAGCACCTGGAAAGAACAGGTGGAACTCACATTTGCTGTGCCGCCTTCTCCTGGCAAACCAGTGTATGGCGGTCTCCTCGACGCCCACAAGGCAGATTCGGTGCGGTCCACCAACCCTCGAGTCCGCCACACGGCATTAATGTACCTTAGTGGCCCCGTGCAAACACTGCCAATTCCACATTCCCATGACGGAGTCTATCCACGTAATTAAACTCAACTAAACTTTTTATTTTACCAGGTAAGGTCCACTCAACTGTATGGCTCTTTTTCCGAAGTCACCTTGGCCACAATTGATAGCTCAACGAAGTGGCTTGTCGCGCGTAAATTTATAGCAGCTAAATACTTTAAACGCATAGCTATGAATGTGGAGGGATCTGGAGAAAAATCCATGCAACCATGGGGAGAACATGCAAACTCCAAATATACAGCAGGCGTCATGGGTCGGGATCGAACCTACGACGTCCTGCACACCATGCGAGGTAGTTAACATTTCGCCACAGTAGTGCCCCATTATTTAATGTCCATGACCTACAACAAAATGGTATTCATTGATAGACCCCACTTGAGTGATGGGCTGAGTCAATGTGCAGCAGTGATGATCAATGTATATGGCTGGACGAAAGCCTCCCAAAATCCATCACCGTCACGAATTTACGATGTTAACAATCCACCTTCAGCACCTGCAAAACACGAGCTAATTTCATCGCTCCATCTCCTGTGGCAGCACTGTGCTCAGACGCTCCCGTCATTATTCTTGTACCATCGGTGCCCGCCGCCCGTAGCGACGCGCGTCCTGCACGGACAGCCCCCGCTTACGTATCTTAGGTGGGGTGTGACTGTGCCGATGTAGAGGTGATACGCGCTGGGATTAGAGATCGTATGCCAGCGCGTAATGATTGGCTGTGTAGGTGGTGACGTGCGCTGACGGTGGAGGATCAGGGGTCAGCGCGGGGTCGTGGGTTACGGGGTACTGATTGGCTGTGGACCGGTGACGTGCTGAGAGGGAGTGATCGGGTGGCAGCGCGGTGTGATTGGTGGAGGAGTGTTAACACGCGCTGGGGAAAACGGATCGTAGAGAGAGTGCGTCGTGATTGGTTCATTAAGGAGCGATGCTCACGTTGAAGTACGCATCAGCTCCGCCTCTCGTGAGCAGGGGCTATAAAAGGGGATGCACACAGGCGTGAGGGCAGTGTGTAACCAGCGAAGAATGAAGACGGGGATGAAGACCTAGGGCCCTGCAGTACCTAGTCCCGCTGTCCTAACGGGACCGGGACTCTGTGTAACCCAGAGGCGAGTGTAGTGTGTGTAGCCATAGGCGTAAGGTCTACACGAGCCGAATGCAGTGTGTGTAGCCAGGGACATAGGGTCTACACGAGTCGAGTGTATTGTGTAGCCAGAGGCGTAGGGTCTACACGAGTGAAGGGTATTGTGTGTAGCCAGAGGCCTAGAGTTTACACGAGAGTAGTGGAGTGTGAAATCGGAAGAAAGGAGACTACGCGTTGTATTTTGACACGTAAAGATTTAATAAAAAGTGTGTTCCCGTCAAGAAGTTCCTGCCGTCAATTCCCATACTTCACCTGTAGCGTGCCTCACGTTCTTGCTCTGGCGTGGTTGTGTCCTCGCGGTGTGGCACGTGTGCGTGCGTGTCCGTCTCATGGTGATGTGAACATACATGATGGCAAGGTGCTTTCGGCGCGTGCACGTTATCCACCAGTGCCAATTTGTGTGCGCGAGTGTTCGTGCATTTGACTCTGAGTGCGTGCAAGTATGCGTGTGTGTTCGGGCGGAAGTGTAGCAGTTAGCGTGCTTTTTTACGAACCCGGCGACCCGAGTTCGATTCCTGCTCACGGCCAACACTGGTGACGATTATCTGAACCGGTGGGCCTTCCCGAGGTCGCCTCAGCCTCAAAAGAGTACCTGGTGCAGTGTGTAAACATCACCCCCTCGTGTGCCGTGCGTACGTAAATAATATATTGTACTCCAAAGTGCATGTATTTATGCGAGGCGCAAAGTACTTGGTGTACACGGTAGGTAGAAGTGAAGGCTGAGAAGCGATGGATAATGAGAAAGGACGGACGATGCTGTCAGCGACGTAAGCGTGGGCTGAGGCGAGACAAATAGGGTGGTAATGGTGGTAATAAATTAACGATGTTTTTGCAAAACGACATTAAGGGGGAGACGTAAATTGGGGTATTGCTCGATATTTTTTTACGAACGAGAATAAAGGAACAAAATGTAATTTAATAAAGCAAACACAATCATTATACCGGGACTTTTAAGTGTGATCCACGAGTGGCCACCATACTAAAACGAGTGTGTCGCTGGCGGGACACGTGACATCATGAATCCAGATTGAAAACGAATTTATTTTAGAACTGATTTTTGTATTTCGTTTGTTGTCCTTCCCCCGCACCGCCCGATTAGCACGGTTGGCTACATACGGTGCAAAATAAGTTCAACTTAATAATAGCAACCTCTATTTTATAAAGACGCCTTATGTATTGAAGTATCTCAAAGCGCTGCGCATAAACATAATACTACACTCACTATTATAGAGAAAATCCAAGTGAAATAGAAAGATGATAATAACAATATCAACGACTACACTCGAAAGTCCAACAAAATGAAGAAGTACGATCAAATAATTTAGTCCGCAAAAAGGTTTGTGGACAATAAGCACAAAGCTGAGTGCCAGATCACCCCCGTTGCAACACATGACAAGGCAAATTAAAAACATTACCGTGTTTTCAGCCATGCAGAGCGAATGTACAAAATCACCACGTTGTTACAGATCCATCAACTAATAAGCCGAGCGCCGCGCCGCGTTAAACCGGTCAACAGTTCATCCGACGGAGGCGACGATGCTCCAACAAACTGCCACGGACATAAATTGATGGTAACATCACATCGTTCGCGACTGCAGGCCAAGCGCAGAGGACAAAGGAGGGGTTCTATTGCACACGTGCATCTGTTTAACAGCCGCGCCGGGGTCGGGTCAAGTGTAATTATGGTTGGGTTTCAAGTTGGATTTGAGCTCGGAACGGTGCCGGACAAGCAACCATAGACACCTTCCTCCAATGCTGATTTAAGAAAAACATTGGAAATTTGGACGTTCAAATAGTGGTCAAGAGGGTCGACCCGGGCCCCACGATCCCTTCCGGGAGTTGCTAAAGTAGATACCGCTTCGTCACAAATATACGGTCGAAGCCTCGTGGACAGACTGGCCCCTTGCAATGGAAATGTGCGATTGCTTTCGCTGGGTCAGGACCACGAACTGAGATGAGCGCTCCCCTCAATGTGTGCTCCAAAGGGAACCACTCAGACACGTGCTCTATCAAGCAGGGCGGCAATGAATGAGCAGACCCGGTAGGTCAGATGCTAACTGGACCCATCGTCCCTTTGGGTATAACAACTGAGTATTTCTGTTGACCATTGAAAATAGGCAATATTATAGGACTGTGGAGTTTCCACCACTGGCTCTATGATGGCAAGGGGGATGAGCAACTGTTTCATGCTCATTGCAGCAAGGAGATTTGTTGACTTGACTTTGACTGTAAACTGTGGGACTCACTCACCGCATGGGTCCGAAACTTGCAATCCACAGTAACTATAAGCTCCGGCAGGCCTAACCACCAATGCCAATTAAATGACACCACAACTCAGCATGGCATCCTTCCTGCTTTCATATCCTGCTGATGTTGCAAATTCAACATTTGACCTCCATGGTCCACTCGTGCAGTATCACCACATGTGGCTTTAGGCCCAGGACCGGTTCAGATAATTATCGTCACTGGTGTTGGCCGTGAGCGGGAATCAAACTCGGGTCACCGGGTTTGTAGCGCGGCGCACTAATCATTGCACGACCGCTCCACGTACATAAACGTACAAAACAACAACAACAACAACCGCCATTCGCCACTAAGTGGCGGTGACGTCACTACGACCCTTGTGCCAGGCCATGTGCACCTTGAGGCCACGTGAAGTGTCGAACGCCCGCTGGCAGGAGGTCACGGGGCAGACCCAGGTGCCACGGGTCGACTGACTGAGATGACCGAGATGACTGGCTGATGCACCACCTGTGCCCCCTACTGTGCCAACTTGCTGTGCTTTAGCCACCCGGCGCTCCGCTCGTTGTTATGAGCGTCGCTCCTCCGCCCTCCGTTGTTGTTGGAGGGCGACTGCCTCCAACTGCCCAGTAGCGTCCTTCACAAGCCTCCTCCACAGAGGCCAATCTTGACACCGCTGGTACCAGTCATCGGCAAGTCCACTCAGCACCACGTCCTCCTGTACCACATCACTCCAACTCTTCTCTAGCCCGTGCCGTGCCCGTTTAGCCCCCTCGATCCGGCCGAACAAAATATGTTAAGGCATGCGGTGGCTGGGCATGCAGGCTACATGACCCAGCCAACGCAGCCTTGCCTGCCGGAGGAGCTCACCGATGGGACTTTGTCCAGATCTTTCAATAATTTTTGAGCTCCTCACACAATCCAGCCTGGTTAAACCCAGGATGGATCGTAGGCAGGCCAGTCTAAATGTTTCTAACCGGTGAAGATGCTCCATTAGGGGGGTCCACATTTAGCAAGCGTAGAAAAGGGACGGAATGACCGAGAAGACCTGAATCTTCGTGCAGAGCGACAGACCAGGTAGCTTCCACACAGCGTTACGCAACCGATGAAAAGATAATGCCGCTCGACTGATTCGGAGTGAGACCTCTGCTGTTAAACCGGAGCCGGTCATGAGCACACTGCCCAGGTATGGGAAACTCTTCACAACTCTCCACAAGTGCCCTATCACCAATTGGGAGTTGTGGGGGTGGAGTGTCCGATGGTACAAAATACCCAGGCAGGTGCTTCGCTTTGGTGGGGCTGATGGTAAATCCCCACCTCTTAGTGGAAAGCTCCAGGTTCAGCAGCAGCGCCTCCAACTCCTCCTCTGAGTGAGAAGCAATTACCAGATCATCGGCATGCATAACATGGTTGAGCAATAGGGGGCCATCCCTTGACCACACCCAGGCATCGATCAGCATCCCATTGTATCTGTGCCAGATGGAAATTCCTCAGGTACCGCTATTGAAGGCTTCACTAACTACGTGGTCGAAATATATGTTAAATAATGTGGGAGCCAGAGGACATCCCTGTCGCACCCCAAGGTGAACAGGAAATGGCTCCGACTTCCGGCCACGTAGTTTTACCTGGGCCAGCTTACCATCATGAAGGTCCTTAATGATCGTGAGCAGAGGGTCAGGAACTCCGAAAGCACGAAGAACAACCCAGAGCCCAGGCCTACTGATGGTATCATAGGCCTTGACCAGGTCAATAAATCAGAGATGCAGGTCTTGACGGACAAAAAATATGGCATCTGTACAGGACCGCCCTTTCCTGAAACCGCCTTGGGACTCCGCAAGTCTCTCCTCAGTGTGCCTAGCAAGGCGATGTTGAATAATCCTTGCCAGGACCTTTACCGGCACACTGAGGAGTGAGATGCCCCTGTAGTTGTTACAGTCTGTGCGGTCCCCCTTCTTAAAGAGGGGGACCACCAGGGCATGTGCATCTTGAGGCCACACACACATATATGTACACACATACAACGCACGTCCCCATCTGTCACATCCTCCTCTTCCTTATTGTGTGGAATTTTGCACAAAGGATGATGGGAATGGCACAAGACAGGGGTCAATCGCTTGTTCCAGCGTGGGTATAGAGAAACCGATTTTGGTTGCGGTAATTGTGGCCAACAAAATGCTTGTGGGGACAATATGATCACAATCCACGTAAAAAACACACACAATTCAAAGGACAAGGAGAAAAATAGTAAAACCATCCCACTGTGGCAATGGGCATAGTGAGCCGGTCGTAAGTACAGCTGGCCGTCTGTGGCACTGTAAAAAACTTCCAATCGCCGCTGCAAGTTCAGCCTGCGTGCATCCTCACGTTCGGGAGGCCTGAGAGTGCGAACAACGTGGGGGGGGGGGGGGGGGGCTTACTTCACGGGGAGCACAATGGCCACTGGTTTGAAGCAGCTGCTGCCCATAAGGCAGGTCAAGCGAGATGCTTTGGCAGCCGGGCACGTTCTCTGCGGCAGTGCTTGAAAGGCAGCCTGCGAAGGCGTCGGCTCGATAATTATCGGTTGTGAAAAAAGCTGCATGTCGCTACACGCTGCAACTGACGTGCCGGACAAATTGATTAAGTAAAAAAGAACACATTAATCTTCGTTCTTCCATTGACTGCCCTTTGTCAATGCACTGCTGGTCGGATGTATTTCCACACCGTGCCGGTCACGGGGGTTGTTTGGCCATACTTCACTTCGCTGGTTCATGCGAGTTTGTAAAATGTGGAGAGGCCAGGACCGGTTTAGATATCACTCAGCGCCAATTCTGGCCGTGACAGGGAATCAAACTCAGGCCAGCAGGTTCATAGCACAGTCCGAAGAAAAAAAAAAATGTCAGTCCGGTCTTTAAATCACCGATTGCCACGGCTGAGCAGACTTGGCAGAGACGGTGGTTGCTGGGATTACTGCTCCAGAAATCAAAAGCACCGTTCAATTTAGGCACCTCCGTTGAATGTCTATGTTCTTCCAACTGCCGCATAAACCATCACCACGCGAACTCCGCTCATCCTCGCAGTGGCTTTTGGCTCGCCATCGAACAAAGACGGTCACCGCATCGCGCGCTTTCAGATGCGCTTCTGCGGCCGTCTGGAACGCTCTTCCTTCCGATATTAGGAAGCCACTGGAGCTGTCCACTTTTAAATGATCTCGATTGAAAACTCGTTACTTTAGAACTGCTTTTTGTATTTTCCCCACTAATGCTCGTTTGGCTACGTAGGCTACGTACGACGCAAAAGAAGTTGAACATACACACATAGCACACCTAGAGGGTGTTAACCTTACTCTTTCACGTTGGCCAGACTTCTTGGAAGAGGCAGCAGCACGCACACTTCACCCCACCACACGCGACCTGCCGATTGACCGGGGATTCTCGGAGAACGAACAATCGGCGCACGAGTTTCGCAAGCCCAGTGCGCTCCCCATGACACCGCCGCAGCATTCCCAGAGCACATTTTGATAATCATTGACTTCTACCCTCAATATTAAAAGGTATGTAAAGTGAACGTAATGTTTGTTTATGTGTTTTATTATGTGATTGTGTAATGTACTGTTTAGTGAAGAAACAGACAACTAAGTTATGCGATGATACGTCTGACCGCAACCGTGGTTCCCCGAACCTCCTATTTCCCAAAGGCCCCTCCCTGTACCGCACCAACCGCGGATTTGCCTACCGCGGCATTTCCCAGGAACCTAACCCCTGCGGTTGGTGAGGGATTGCTGCAATCTTATTGGACTCTGCTTTGTGGAATGGATGATGCTGATGATCAGCTGCGCACTGGTTGGTGAGTACCTGCTCTCCAAGGCTCCGACCACCAGGGCAATGAGGTAACTGGGTATCTGCACCTGCGAGCACAACACAGAGTGCGTGTTAACACGGCAGAAGCAGCACACCAAGCACGACCGCGTTCCGATGGCAAAGGTGAAATCGTGGCAGAAACCACACTCTGTAGTGACGTGACCTTTTGACTCGCGAACGTGGTCACGACTTAAATGATATTATGAACACACCTAATTCATGTAAATTAATCGTCCCCAATTGTGGTATATCTCGAAGTAAACTATCTATCTGGGTGACACTGTGCAGGCAGATGGTGGCAAACTTCAACTCTTGGTTTGGTGTTGTCTCAAGCCCACCATTTCGTCATCATCATCATGACATTTGTACTGTACTATAGTGTGGGCAGTCAATGGCGACCGTCCAGAGACTCGTCCCTCTACTGTACGAATGTGGAATTTCCACCAGTGGCTCGAGGCGACCGACAGCGGTGGCCGCTTGAGCGTGGCGACACCGATTTTGTTCCGTTTACCGACAGGGAGACACGGCCACCCTCCCATCGCAGGGTGACGTTCCGTGCCTGTGCGTCTCAAGGGTCTACGCGAGAACCAACAACAGCTACTGCTGTAACCCGAGTCTCGTTTATAAAGTTATAAACACTCCTTCTCAGAGTGACTGACATTTTACAGTGATATCGTTTTTTTGTAATTGAAAACAATCTTATTCTTGGATCTTTCGGTAAAGTCACGTAGAAGGGAAATAATAAAATAATAAAAATAAAACAATACAATTCTCACGACGTTTCGGTCATAACAAGCAGCAGGACGGCTGCTTGAGTTGTGGCCGAAAGTTCGTGAGAATTGTATTGTTTTATTTGTATTAATTTATAATTCCCTTCTACGTAACTTTACCGAAAGATCCAAGAATATGAATTCCTGCAATCACGAAAGCTTTACATCGAAATGAAAACAATCTATTCATATCCGAGATGCAATAAATATTTTTCGTTCGTACTGCTCGTGTAGACGACACAGCTACAACGACAATTTCACACTCAGGTGGCCGAGCCAAAGAACCGCGTCAGGAGCAGCGGTGTGTAATGCCGTGACGTCTCCTATACACTACTACTATATACGACTACCATATACCACTACTATATACTACTATATTACTATACGAGTGTATATAAAACGTTTATAAATGTACATACATGTTTAATAAAGTACAGAACTGTACAGTAAATTATTCGCTAATCACCTGGACATGATAAATACGAAAGATGCGAGCCGGGTGGACTCGTTTCTTGCGCGGGCGATGCGGTTACACAGCCATAAAATCCACGTTCGCGTGAGGGCGGTGATTTCACTCCTCGCTTCCCGCCCCGTGCGGGGGTAGCGAAAGCCCGAGTCACACAAAGTGTGAGCCTGAATCGTATAATGTTTAGGTAGTGACAGGATACAGCCCATTAACATTGTGGTCCTCGTCGACAGCAGTGGTGCATTACAAACAATTGCAAGGGGAACAACAACTGGTCGTGGAGCTTCATCGCAGGCATGTCATACTATGTTCGAACAAAAAAGTTTTGCTGGCTGGATTCGTGGCTGCCTGGCCCGATGCGTGGCTGATGCCTGGCCGGATTGTTTTGAATGCCCCTTGCACCCACACTCCACCCCAGCCGTGTATCCTCCGCAAACATGATAGAGGAGATAGAGGGATGTGAGGAAAGTATTTCAACGAAACTAAAACTAGAAACTAAAACGAAAAAGTCAACGAAATCTATATTTTTTATTTTACGACATAAGGCCCACTTCAGCTATATAACTCTTTTTCAGAAGCGACCTGGCCACAAATGATAGCTCAACGAAGTGGCTTATCATGTGGATATTTATAGCAGCCAAATACTCTGAATGCACGTTGATTTTAAACGAGGGAAATAAATCTATGCGACCACAGGGAGAGAGAACATGTAAACTCCAAATATACAACAGGTGCTGGAGTCGGGATCGAACGCACGACGTCCTGCATACCAGGCGAGGTAGTTAACATCCCGGCACCGCAGGAGAAGGGAGATAGGGGAGGGAAGAAGAGGTGGAGAGGAACGGAGAGGAGAGAGGGTGTGGGGAGAGGGTGATAGGAAAGAGAGCAAAACAGAAATGAGGGAACGTGACAGGCAACGGCAGGGAGGATTAGGGAGAGGCAAGAGAGCCTGAGATGGCAAAGGGGAGAGTTGGCAATAAGCAGAGTGAATGTGAGAGGTGAGAAAAGAGAGAGAAAATGTGGAGAGAGATAGCGGGGGAGGGAAGTAGAGTGAGATACACTGGAGGGATGTGAGCGGGACAGGAACAAAGTGAGAAATCGAGATGCAATGTGATATACAGTCGAGAGAAGGCAAGACAAATGTGGAGAGAGGCAGGGCTCTGTATAAGAATAGTTTTGCTGGCTGGGAGTGAGGGATAGATGGATGGTCACCGTCCAAAGGACGTGTGGGTTGCTAGTCCTAGTTAAAATATTTAATTGCAAAACGCACGGTAATTAAAGGAGGAGAGAGAAAGTGCTACCTATTGCAGAAACGACACTCAAAACAGCTCAGAGTTGTGGTCAACTCGGGTCATTATAGGAAGGCCGGAGGCAACACTTGTCAGCATTTGAGAAATGAAATAGTCCGTTTGTTGCCCAGGACAAAACGTGCGAAGACGTTTAGCAGGGCTGTGTTTTTTTTTTATTTAAACCTGGATAATAGCCATGAGCCAGTCCCTGCAGGAAAGCTGTTTTTCAAACTCAACACATTGTTGAAATACAATGCAAGTTAGCACGTGTTCAGTTGAAAAAAAAATGGGTACCATTAACTGAAATGCTAAATTCCAATGTTGCGGTGATTGAGCAGCATACATCTAAGCATTCATTCAAGTTTATCGAGGGATTCATTTTAGGATACTTTACTTGGGGGAAAAACATATAACCAAACAAACCACCACGGTTTCTTGCAAGAGAAGTTACATATGTGCTTAGGGCATAGTCCGTCCCACTCGTTGGTGATGTATGATGACTCTGGGGCAAATAAATTGAGTACTACTTAGTGCACTTGCAAATCGAGATTTGCAATTCTCGCTACTGGGGTAGGGGCTCCACCAGTGGACTTAAGCGTGTGAACCTCCAGCCCTTAAAAAAAGGCCAAACGCATTGCCAATTTATTGCCAATTTACGACTGTAACGAGATTGTAACAAAAGAAGAGCTTAAGAATATGTTCGTTGGTGAATAGCTTTAACCAAGATTCTGATCTCAGGATTGTTTTGAATGTGGGGAGGAAACGAGGTTTCTGGAGATCACGTCTACATCTCTATTATTCGTTCATTTGTTTCTCAGTCCGCTTGGCTTGGTTAGGGCCGCAGCAGCAGCATGTTGAGTAGGGCGGTCCAGACTCTAGCTCTTCCTCGGGAATTCCCAATGTTCCCAGGCCAGGCGAGCGACATAGTCCCACCACCGTGTCCTGGGCCGGCCCCGTAGTCTTCGCCCAGTGGGACGTGCTGCTGCTGCTGCCCGGTCGAGTTCCAGGGGGAGTCTAATGGGGGGCATCCTTACCAGGTGCCTGAACCACCTCAACTGGCTCCTCTCGATCTGGAGGAGCACCGGCTTTGACTCTGGGGCTCTCCCGGATTACCAACCTCCTCACACAATCACGGAGAGTGAGCCTGGAAACCCTGCGAAGAAACCTCATTTCGGCCGCTTGTACCCACGATCTCATCTCTTCGGTGATTACCCAAAGCTCATGACCATGGGCGAGGGTGTAAATGTAGATTGCCCTGTAAACCGAGAGCTTTGTTCGAGAACTCAGCTCCCGCTTGTTTACCCCAGAAAGCTTCACCGAGTCTCAATACTCTGGAAGATTCTGGTAAGTAAAGTAAACTAAAATTTTATTTTATTTTACCAGCTAAGGCCCACTGAGCTATGGAGCTATTTTTTCAGAAGCGACCTGGCCACAAATGATCGCTCAACAAAGTAGCTTATCAGGTGGAAATTTATAGCAGCCAAATTCTAATCTGAAAACTATTAACTATTTTTATTTGACTAGGTAAGGCCCACTGAGCTACATAGCTCTTTTTCAGAAGCCAACTGGCCAGAAATTATAACTCAACGAAGTGGCTCATTATGTGGAAATGTATTTCAGCTACATACTCTGAATGCATGCTGTTTATAAATATGGAGGGGAAAACCGGAGGACCTGGAGAAAAATCCACGTGACCACTGGGAGAACATGCAAGCTCAAAATATACAGACGTCAGGGTTGAAATCGAACCCATGAACTCCTGTATACCAGGCGAGGCAGTTAACATTTCGCCACCGTTGCACCCCATGTTTGTTTCACTTGCATATCACATTTTTTTTTGTAGTAGGGGGCAATGTTGCAATGTGTCATCCAAATTGAGTAATTTGCAGTGTCATTTTTCAGAAGATGGATATTTGGCCAATACCAGGATTATGGGTGTGCACTATAATGCCCGTACGTGTGTATGTCAAACTTCTTTCGCACCATACGTAACCAACCGTACAAATCGGAGGTGCAGGGGAAGGACAAAAAACTAAACACAAAAAGCAGTTCTAAAGAAATTAGTTTTAAATCTGGATTTAGATGCGCTTAATTCCAGTGACTTCCTAATATCCGTAGGAAGAGCATTCCAGATGGGCGCAGAAGCGCATCTGAAAGCGCGTGATGCAGTGGCCGTCTTTGTTCGATGGCTAGCCAAAAGTCGCTGCGAGGACGACCGGAGTTCGTGTGATGGTTTATGGCTCGGCCATGACACATGGATACACCTCCAGCCATCGCATGAAACCGTCAATAACGAAGTTCGTCTCCATCGGCGGACGTAGGCCATGCATGAAAATTCTGTAATTCCAAGGCATGAGCCTTTTTAACAAGTGTTATTCCTTTTATCAACCTCTGAAGGATGATGGGATGATTAACCCCCATGCCCACCAGAATTTCAGCTTCACCATCAGACCTGGGGGTCAATCACTATTGTAAAATGTGCAGTTTGTAATGAAACGTTAACACAACGTAATTGTAATTAA